TATATATATATATATATATATATATATATATATATATATATATATATATATCGGATAAATTAAAAAGAAAAAAAATCAAAATATAACTAAATTCTAAAACTAAAACTTCCCAACGTCACTTATCATTTGTAAGTTACAGAAAGAAAAGAATTCAGGCAACAACTTGTTTAAGAGCATTTGGTAGAAGCTCTACCTATTTATTTATTTATTTATTTATGGGCCTCGTGGTACTGACCAAAGAGATTAGAGAGTAGCATTTAGCTTTGAGATCCACGCAGCAACCGCTGATGAGATCCTGTCCTTTTTTGTTTTATTATTTTATTCTATAGTCCTCACCTCGATCGAATCAGCTGTGAAGCCACAGAGCAGTACCAAGTCACTGCTAGATTAACACCAAGCGCTGTTTCGCGTCCCCAGACGCGCGCCCCCGAACTCAGCACTGCCGGATGTGGAGTGGGGTCCACGGATGGCCTTTACAGGTGATCGTTTTGGGTCCTGTTTTCAGAGTAGCGACAGATTCCTCTTCTGTTAAAAGGGTGGGGGGTGGGGGTTGTGTTTGAGCGAGCAAAAGAAAGCGTTAATCCTGGTAATAATATTTGACATTTTCACAGCGTTAACATTAATTAATATTATTAGATCGATGAAAGGGATCCCCACGCTTCTCTTTACACGGGGAGAGCGCGATAGCGAGATCTTTCTTGAGCGCAAGCAAGGTCGCGCCTTTTCGATCGAGGACCGCCGATTCCCGACCTCTCGACCTCCGAGTCCGTGTGATTCTTAAAGGGAGGTGTCCTTCTCGCTCGAATCGCTGGGGTCCGACGCGCGATGAGGAAGAGGGAGAGGGAGAACCCCTGCGATGTCTGTGGCCACTACCACAAGTACGAGGAGGGTGAGGTCTGCGGAGTCTGCGGCCACCGCGTCCCCGCCGCCTTCGAGCGGCCGATCCAGCCGGCCAGCGCCTTCCCCTCTGAGATCCTCACGGATTTCCTCTACCTCGGCAGCTACGACAACGCCTCCCGGGGGGAGATCCTCAAGACCCTCCGCATCACACACATCCTCAACGTAAGGCCCTGTTTGTTGCTCTTTCTTGGATGATCTTGATTGCCTGTGGTGTTTACTGGTAGCTATGGTTTGCGCAGCTGGTTGTATAAAGATTCGCAAATCTGGTACTCAGTTGTAGCGATTGATGGACTAGAGAGAAGTGATGTGTGTGAAATCGTAGCGTTTGGTGTATTAACTTAGTGATCGAGGACTAGGGATGATGCATAGCGTAATAAGGTTGGAATATTGAGTAGTTCACAGGCAAAGAGGAGCTTCTTTATGCTTCTCGCCTATTCATCAACCCTGTATTCGGGAATTGTGCGGTACCTATGCAACCTCTTCCAACGGAAGATGGATATGATGATGAGTCAACATGTTGATAAAGGCATTTCCCTATACAGGCAACATGGTGAATAAGATGTTTAGCTTATAGAGAAGCGAGTTGCACTTTGGTCCAAATCAATAAACATTCTGAAGAATATAATACATGGGCATGGAATGCTCAAGAAAATTCTGATATATTTTAGGAGTATGATTAGAACAGTTCTTCTTGCTGATAATATGTTGGGTTAGCTAGTATTTTAAGATTCCTAAAGCTAGTGTCTTAGTGGGATAAGGAATCCAAGTACAAGGAGTTCTTGTGAAAGAAGGAAATATGTTAATTAACGTTTGATTATTCTATAAATATCTCATGCATCTCTAGGTCTTGATGGGAGGAGAACATGATGTGAGGAATATTTTTGGTGCTCTTGGGTTTCTCTCTGAGATATTTAGAAAGGGTAGTTTCTTAGAGAGGATGAGAAAAAGGCAAGGAAATCCGTGCTTAAGTGGGGATAATTTAAGATCTCGTTATTGATCTCAAATGGTGAAGAATTTAGTTTTCTCCATGGATGTATGTAGGATTTGTTAAACTAGGTTCATCTTGTGTCGGCTTTTTTATATGCTTTTGATTGTTGATCTCTGGGTATTTTCTTTTGGTTTTGGAATTCTTCTCTTCCTTCCCAACAAGTGGAATCGGAGGTCAAAAGATCCGATAGTCAGAGATTCAACAAGGATGAGTGATGAAAACGGGAACGAGCTTGAAGTAAAAGTATTTTATCTTCAGGAGATACATAAGTGGATGAAATACTCACCAAAGGAGAGATTGTTGGGATTGACAAAGTACAAGGAGTTCTCAGAAATAAAAGAAATCCTGGTAATTATAGTTTGGTTCTTTTATAAATATTGTTTCCGTATATTATGGTGAGGGGATAGCAAGATATGAGGAATACTTTTGGTGCTTCTTGATTTCTCTCTAGGGTATCTAGAGAGGGTACTCTCTAGGGTTTTTAGAGAGGGTGAGAAAAGGGCGTAAATTCTTTGGGATTTATGTAAGAGGGACTACAAGGAAATCCATGCTTGAGTAGGAATAACTCAAGGTCTTGTAATTGATCTCAATAGTTAAGAATATGATTTTCTCCGTTGATGTAGACGGGATTTGCCGAATCACGTTAATCTTGATATGCTTTTGATTGTTAATCTCTGGGTGTTTTCTTTTGGTTTTGGAATTCTTCTCTTCCTCCCCAACATAATACACTAGATCTAAAATATATTATGTTGATATATTGCTTCTTAGCGATGGATAATGGAGGAAATAACATTGCATTCGATTTATCATTCTATTTCAGTGTTGTATCTACTTTTCTTTCATCAGATATGATACAGTTATCCATATAACATGCTGTGAGACTACGTTCTCTCATTTCTCCAAGAAGTATTGGACAAATCAATGGGATACTGCCCCCTGTTTGAAAAATCAGGTACAAAGGCTTGTATATGTGGACAAATTAACACCAATTTTCACATAGGAGATCAGTTTAACTTGAATTATCTTATCAGGGTCATTTTTAACTAATTCACCTATAGGCATACAGTGGGTCATCGCAAGAAATAAAAGGCTTAAAGCATTTGCTTTGGCTAATTATATAGAGATTGCCTATGGTGGCTGTTAACCTGTTTCAGCAACTGCTATGTTTACAAGAGCACAATATCCTGTTGCTACAACTATATTATGGTTTCTGCTATAGCAAAACTGCCATTGATGCCTCCATGATCGCTGTTCTGCACTAAGCAGAATAGCCATTCTTTAGATCGCATCAGGAATATCCTTATACCTTTTGAGTCTCAAGTCAATTCTTATAAAGAAGGCTTTATTGGTTTTAGCCTTTACATCAGGAATATGGTGGATTGAAAGAAGGCTTTATTGGTTTTAGAACGCATCAGGAATATCCTTATCCTTATTGGTTTTAGCCTTTACATTATGGTTTCCCTTTTATTTTTCATATATCGAGTTTGACCATATGGTGGATTGAAAGACATATTGCTAATCTTGAGTCTTCAACTTTTGCTCCCTAATTTTGCATTTCCACTTTAATGATACTTCTTAACTTAAATGAGCTATCTTGCTTTTGAAATTGTTCTTTTATCTGTTGCCATAATACATTGTTGGATATGACTGCAGACTGTACCTGCTTGCCAAAATCTGTACAAGAATTCCTTTACTTATCACTGCCTCCAAGATGACAAAGTTCTACAATTTGATGATGCAATCCAGTTTTTAGGTATTATTCGTCCTTGATGTAAAACTGTCATACTCTTGGATTACTTTTATTCATACGTTACAAGTAGCAACCTGAATTTCTTTTCCTAGAGAAGTTACATTGACATAGAATCAACATCTCAATTGTTGGGTCACTCATCAATCTTCCATAATTTGCATTTTTTAATCTTATCAATTGTTGAGCCACTCTTTGATCTTATCTTAAAGTATATAATTACTTCTACAATTGTGCTTATACTTTAAAGTGGAAATTATTGTCAGTGTCAAGGTTCAATGTCTCGTGCCGACCGATGGTACCAAGCTTGGCCCGGACTAGTATGTTAACTCAGAGATTGGTTGTCCGACAAATAGAGAGAAGAACGGTCCAATCCGATAATGGGCAACGCACATTGTCCCGAGATGTCGATGATGATTGGAGAGGAATCTTCTGTTGAATCTGGATGCTGCTTGATCTCTCGACGTGCTGCTTGAGATCCTATAGAAGATCAAGGTTGGAGGTAGCCCGACTCAGTTCCTTCGATGCTTAAGTCAATAGTGTTCGATGTGGTCAAGAAATAAGGGTGCGGAAGAAGAAAGAAAAGAATGAGAGAGAATTTATTTATAACCAGGTCGTAGTGGTTGTCGATGGTTTAAAAGGTTAAAGGCAGTTGTGGGGTGGCACAACCGCCTGCTGAGATGGTAGTTGAGGTGGCATAACCATCACTAATGTGGCTCAACCACCTGCCAAGGTGTCGTAACTTCTACTAGTGTGTCTAAACCACATGCCAAGGTGGCATAACCTCCATTGATGTGGCTCAACCACCTGCCAAGAAGGTGCAACTATCGATCAAGGTGGCTCAATTGCCCCCTATGTGGGTTCATGTCATATTTGTTTAGTTGAGGTAGCGGCGTTCATTGTTGAGGTGGAGATGTCCACGTGTCAGCTTTAGAATATGTTATTTTATCCTCTATCACGGTATATACGGATCGGCACCAATGTATCATATGCATGTTGTTACATATCGATTTTCCAAAAATGGTAAAAAATGGCCAAAAATACGTAAAAAATTAAGAATTCTTTGTAATACCTTTTTTATCCTAATCTAATTCAATTTCAATAAGAGTAGAGTACAAATAAGTTATAAATGACTAGTAATTTCAGGTTATTACGATGAGATAGCAGATGTCTCTATTTAAAGATGGATCTTTGAGGGGGCAACTTTCTCGTGTACTTCGCTATTAATTTTGTTGATCTTGAATCATTATAATAATAATAAAACGAGTTGAGATGTTAGATTATGTGTCAAAGGCCTGCTTTTTCAGCAAATTACGTAATAAACATAAGCAACACTTCTACCACCAAAATGAATGTCAGGATTTCATAGCCATTGGATTGGGTCCTCAATCCTATAAATTTGCATATCAATATGGTATGTCTGTCGAACTCAATCTTATAACTGCTCCTAGAGATCTTCCACCAATCCCTATTTGCCTTTTGAAGTTTTTTAATGAGCTCAATCATCGATTAGGATGTTTAATTGAGAGAGTGAGAAAGAGTGAATGAGAAAGAGAAGGAGAAAAGAGTGTGAGTGAGGGAGAGTGAAAGAGGAGAGGAAGGGGGTTTTAAAGAGTGGAACCAACCTCAATAAGGTGTCCAATGGCCAATATGACCATTGGACCCCATTGATGTTAGTGATTGAACCAATATGGTCGAAAGGCGACTATGACCATCAGACTCCATTGATGTGAATGATTGAATGATATGGTCGGAATTTACCGATCGATACAAGTCAGTAACAGTCATCATTCGAACATGTCCCCCGATATAGGGGGTGTATTGGGTGGCACAACCCTGTTTTATGCATACTGCTTGAAACAGGTGGATCCACATACTGTTTGTTTAGCGGACCGGTATGTACTGTTTGTTTTGTACTGGGAGATACAATGGACATTAGTCAGTGTTGTGTGTGATATAGTATGCATGCTTCAAAGATTCTCTTGCTTGATCAATTTCTTATGTACTTCATGCTCATTCACATTGATCTACAACTCCAAAATTATACTTCATGAAATATCATATGAACAGGTCATGATGTTCTCCGCTATACGACTTTTAAGATGAGGAAATTTTGTTGCTATACCTTTTAGCTTATATCATATATTGATTTTACTTCCATGCAACTATTTAAATACTAGTAACAAGAACTGTCGGGGAAAAAGTTTGTCTTTGTGTGCTTACACCAGAAATAGGTAGTGAATTTTAGTAGTTTTAAGTAGACATTAAAGTATATTCTGTGTTCTGCGTTGACCTCTTTTCTCAAACAAGTTGCTTGTTGTTATTTATGAGTTAGACACAATATACTTCTTTTTGGAAAATTATTAAACTACTACTTGAAAAGTTCCAGAGGCAGCAGAGCTCACAGGTATGAAAGTCCCAAAGAAATGGGACTTGCAAAATCAACAGAACGTTAATTCTAGAACAGTCGGTTAGACATTCAGCTGCCTGATTGGCTTTTTTTTCCAAAACATGGCTGGTACAATATGCTATTCATTGATTTCAAACTGAATTTCAGCAGTGTGAAAGATCAGAGATGAGCATTCCTTCTGCATCTGTGATCTCATAAACACATTGTTATACTAATCACAAACAGAAAATAGAAATATTTTAGAGAACACGAGAAAGAAGAACAAAGGGGAAAGAATGTTTCCTCGGTAAGATGAACTTGGAATGTACTTGGAACAAAGGGGAAAGAAGGTTTCCACATTTAGATGAACCTGGGATGTACTCAAGGTTGAGGAAATTCTATTATAATTCGTTATTTTATTTTTGAGGTCCCAGCATTAGATGATCCATAACAAGGGGGCATTCTTGCGTCTTCCAGCCTAGCTATTCTGCTTGAAGGTTAGAATTTGATATTTAATTAGAACCCAATAAATCCTTTTGTGTTCTGTCTTATTTTGTGATGGTTATCTACGAGGAGGTACAGAACCAGTTAATCTAACCAAGTGTTGATTATAAGGACTCCGAGAATTATGGATGCTTGGTGCATACTGCATAGTTTGAATTTTGAGGTTTTATGTGAGACTAACAATTGAGAATATGGTAGGCAGACGTGGATTCCTACCTAGTCTGGTATAATAATTGACCCATTAACTTGTTAAGCCTAAATTATCTCAAAATGTTGAACCCCAAATCAGTGGTAGTACATCTATCAAACCTTTTGTAAGTTAATTCAAATCTTTGACCATTTTTCTTATCAATGTCACACCTCAAAATTTGAAAACATCAAATTTAATATTTTTAAACATCCAATACATAAGATGTTGTTTAACATTTACAAAAACACTAGCTCAGTTTATGGACAACCTCACAACCAAAATTTTCTTTACAATGATATCTTGTAAAACCACAAAACATGTCATATTCTTCTATGATTCCACTGCCTCAGCCTAAACCTAACTAGAGTGTGATGATAGAGACAAGCTAACTTGAAAATTTTATATAACAAAAAAGTAAGCTACAAAAATTCAGTAAACGACTATCATATCCATGGCATAAGAAAGGACAAATCATATGACATAAGGATCAAGATACAAGGTATGAGTTCAAGAGTCATATTTATCATCTAATCTGATTCATACATATTAGGAGAGCAAATAACAACATATAACATATAAGTATGTTATTTAGAATTGTGTCAAAGGAATATAGATGATGTAGTGTGATCATAACATAACATAAATCTACCCATTTCTAGATGGTCCCATAAATTCACTCGTTTCTAGATGATCATAACATATGTCTCCATGTCTATATGAAGTCATTTGTTGACATGAGCTCGTCATGGCTCCATAAACATAGCATAATTCCCATTTCATTTCTGGCAAAGGGATTAAATTATTTTACAAATATCAGAGTACAAATAAAGATATTCTTATGTATAAATCAAGAAAATAGAAATGTATTGGAAGCACGTGGCACAACAAAAATATACATGTGCACGTGTGAAGCAAAACCAAAGCTATAATGAACATATGTACAACTCATTCAATTATTACAAGAATCAATAACTAAGAGATAAAGGAATTTAAAGCAACAACATGAGATTCATTTGAGGGAGGATTTTGGCTTTAATCAAATTCCAGAAGGTAAAAGAAAAAATTGTGTAAGTTTGGAAACGAATCATATGGGCAGAATTGTAATATCAGTTATAATAGACATCTGGATTGACAATTATGCTCTAGATTATTCAAATAAGAGTTTTTAGCAAGGTATGTGAGTTTAGCTTCCAATAAAACAAGTTTTGTGTAAATTAGAATTGTCCACATAAACTTATAAGTAATGAAATGCATAAGGTCAGATCACTTTGTCTATGCTTAGCAGAATTTGAATGATTAATTGAAACAAGCATTTGAATGAGCATTGTCGATCCAAATCATTTAAATAAGATGTTGATAGAAAGATATAGGAGTCAACTTTCCACTAAAAAAAAATTTGTATAAATTCAAGTTATCCACAGAAGATTATAAAGAATTTAATAGACAGGTTACATCATTTTGTCTCTACTTAGTAAAATCCAATGGATCACTTCACTAGAATAAGTGTTTAGACGGGCATTGGTGCTTCAAATCATTCAAATAAGGTGTTAATAGAAAGATCTATGAATCTAGTTTCTAATAAAATTGTGTTTGCTCAATTTAGAGTTTTTGTACAGAATGTTATAGTTGAAATAAGGTCAAGATTCTCAAAATTCCTAGATTTTAAGTTTACAATTCAATTGAAGTTTATACTATTAGAAAAAAATAAATCTCTACTAATTGCTCATAAATAGAAAATAATCTGAGATCAAATTACTGTAAGACCAGGTAGAACACTTTCCTTAGATAGCTAATTTCCTAAAGATCTTGAATTAGACCAAATTCTCAAGTCAGAAACAAACACATTCTCTTCTTCTTCTCTTTCACTTCACTCTCTTTCTCAAGTGTGCTATCGAAGGCAACCAAGGCACTAATTAAGTCTAACTTTTGGTTTCTAATCTTTAGTGCTTACCTAAATCTAAATGTTGCAAAGTGTCAAGCATGCAACAAAATAATATTAGGTGTCAAGTATGCAACAAATTAATATTAGGTGTCAGAGCAAGTATGAGGTAGCACCCTCATTTGTTTGCTAGTGCCCACTTATAATTTTTATTTTTTCCACTAACTTATCATGGAAAATTTTACAAATCACTATCAGGTTCTATAATTCACAATTAGGCCTCTCGCACTAAGCTTTCAATATAAAATTATATAATTAAAAAAATATTAAATAAATTCTCATATTAAAATAATCAAGATATTATAAAAATTTATAGGTATCATAAATAATTAAGAAATGAAGGATATTACAGTGAGGGACCAATGGAACTTAGAATCAAACTTTACCATGGTGCATTAGACCCAAAACCTAATGGTCACTCTACGTTGTAGCGTGTTCTCTAGCCCAGTCCACGGGTGGCCTTTTCCATCCGAGACTCTCACCATACCCAATATTAGGTTAGCTCTGATATCACTTGTCATGATTGCATAAAGGTTTTTCGAAGGGAGGTTCATGCACGAAATAATTCTCTTGGCATGCGAGTTAATTTGTACCAGGATGTGATAATAGAAGTAAAGAAGAAGAAAACCATAATTAGGGTATCCTAATAAGCAGAGCCGCATAGAGAATTTGATATATGTAAGATTGTGCAAAATGCAAATTAAAAGTATTCTTAGTACTAAAAGTACAATACAGTAGTAAACTACTAATAGTATGGGATTTCAGTGACCTTTCTCCAGTCTGAATTTGAAACTGTTTCCATGCTTGTTGCAGTACCTTGCATAAATAAAGATATGTACTATTCAGACCTACTACATGTGAGTTGTTTTATCAGCTGATCTAGGATGTTAATTGGTTTGGCCTTTACTTTCATGTAGTTCTTGTTCTTTCATATTAATATTATTCTCTAAATACAGAGCAATGCGACAAGGAGAAGGCACGTGTTCTTGTCCACTGTATGTTGGGCAAAAATAGGTTGGTTTAGTTCAGTTACACATTTTTATTTCATTGACACGGGTATTATATGCACAGCATCTGTTTTATTGTTTTCTTATGGCAGGTCACCAGCAATCGTAATGGCCTATTTGATGAAATGCAAAGGATGGCGATTTGCACAAAGTTTTCAATGGGTTAGAGATCGTCGACCAATGGTGGAGTTATCCCCAGGTTTTTACTCTTCTCTGTGCATCATATAAGAAATGGAGCACAAAACCGTACATAAGTTTTTTTTTTTTTCCTTATTTCCTTTTTTTTTTTGGGCATTCTGTGGTTTATGCTAGACAAATGGAAAGCAAAAATCTTGAGGATCCATACTGTATTCATAAGTTATTTTTTTCCTTTTTTTTATTTGGCATGCTGTGGTTTATGCTAGATAAACGGAAATAAAAAATCTTGAGGATCCATATTGTGTTTATGAGTTATATTTTCCTTTTTTTATTTGGGGCATGCTGTGGTTTATGCTAGATAAATGGAAGACAAAAATCTTGAGGATCCATACTGTATTATTGGTTCATTTTTAGCTGTTTATTGTTGTCTCCCTCGTTTATTGTATCTTTCAGCTGTCCAGCAGCAGTTGCTGGATTATGAACAAAAGATTTTTGGATCTGGTGAAACGACAGCCATGCAACCAGTACTTCCGCCGGAATCACTTCCATCGTTTGGGTTTGGATTGCCAGTCAATACATCTCCAGCCCCTGTGTTCAATCAACCAACTACGGCATCCGTCTTCGATCGGTCGGTTCCGAGCACGGGAAGTGAGTTTGTATTTGGTGCAGGCAGAAACATAGAGCAAAGAGTGATGGAAAACAATGCTTTTGTGGTTGTGCCTCCTACTGGGGGTGAAGCCCCCATGGACAGTTCATGAAGAACTGCTCGGGTGAAAGCAGCTGGACCGGAGATCCTCTTTGTACCCAAAAGATGGGTGATGTGAATAGATTGTCATTCAGGTTTGGAATCACAAAGTGCTCTGGGAGAAATGAGCCTATGTTGAAACTACTTTTTTGTTTTCTTCTTTTACTTTTTGTTTTTTTTTTTTTGTTGGGTGTGTTGGACGGTAACACTTTATGAATGAATTAATAATTTTATTGTTCATGAGATGTCTACCACATAAGAGGATTGGTTGGTTTAACCGGCTTTATGTTTTCCTTACTGTTTGATCATCTTGTGTTTGTGTTTTAATTTCCTTCTTTCACTTTGATTTTCAACATATTGCTGCCCTTGGCAATAACAATAAAAAAGCTATAACATTTGACTATTTTGAGGATGATTATACTTGAATGAATCTTTTATATAACCCTGAATTGAATTTTGATTCGGGTTTGGGATCCATATTGCTGACGTTATTGTATTGATGCCTTTGGACAAAACTGGTAACTCTTAAATGAAGTGGATATTGTGATGTCTTTTCTCTCTCTCTCTCTCTCTCTCTCTCTCTCTCTCTCTCTCTCTCTCTCTCTCTCTAAATGAAGTGATGAAATCCATCTCCAATTTGTAGTGCAATGTTAATTGAACATTATATTTGTGTCAATTACTTGGAAGAAAATTGATCTTCTATTTTATAAACTTGTTTTGCGTTTCATTTTAATTTTTCTAAACATGTAACATTACCCAACCAACTGCAACATATGAACAGTAGTAGTACAAAGGAACACCAAACCTGTGGCTGTTTGGTAATTTAGATCCATATAGACGTCGAATATTGTTAACATAATACCTTCCCTCTCAGCAGCTCATACGGCCTACTTGGGTGCTGCTGCAACTTGTTGTTATGATGAGCAATAATGGCCATAGCCTTCTTATTCAGATGGTTAACGGAGATGAATTCCTCAAGAATTTCCTTTTTTTTTGTTGTTGGGGATAATAGTAAGAGGCTGTGTAAGACATTTAAAAAGAAAAAAAAAAAAAGAGTGGTGGAATGTTTTTTGTTCTCATCTTTACACATATTTTAAAAGCTACATCAGAAGGAAGTCTTCGTGTCGACGATTGACCAGCCAAATCTTGTTCGATTTTTTCTTTTTATCATCCACCTATGGTATGGTGGTGGTGGTGGTGGTGGTAGTAGTACTACTTCCGTTCTCTATCTCTGAAGTTTCCGAGATAGCATCATCGGATGCGATGTTCGATATGAAGCTTGCAGTCAAGCTTCCATCTTCCCAATCGGATGGAGCTTTCTCCGAGGTGGTATCGTCTATCGATATCTCGGACGCAGCTCTATGTAAGGAAGAATCATCTACGCATGATTCGCATCGATCCGGTTCCTCTGATGGCTGTTGCAAGCTCCAATACATGATGCTGGCCGTGAGAACGAGGATCATCTTTTGATTCACCTGCGGAAATGGCAGAAACTCACGTACTTAAATTAGCTTGATTTCTTCCTCCGAAAAATAATAATCGTTGTTATGATCGTACATAAATAATAAATAATGGAGCTTTCTTTACCTCCATGATGTCCTCAGGCAGTAGAAAGATGGAGCACCCAAGCTTTCTCGCCACGCTAATAATATATATAGCATTCAACCGCTTCTCATCATCTGCATTCCAACGTATAAATAAATAAATTATATATACCTCGAGGAAGGAAGCCACCACAGAATTTAATCGAAAGCAAACGAACAAAAGAGTAATCTTATCTGCCACTTTTGATTATGAGCTCCAAGTAAAAACAAAAAAAAAAAGAAGACAAAATACTAATAGCGAGTAAAAGTAGAAGTTGGATTCAAACAATCCACACTGGGGTTTGAAATCGAACGAACGTACCACTTTCGCCCTTGGTAACGAGGTTCCAATTGACGACCCTCGGCTCCACAGAAGATAAGAGTTCCAGGAAAAATATGCCGTTCGATAGGTTCTTATCCTGAGAGAGGAGATCAAACTTAGGAGGAGGATACATTTAATTTAATATTCTCATCTCAGGATTAGAAAACACAAAATGTTTTTTTTACCTTGAAACTCTCGATCCGGGAAACTCTTCCTGCGCTTTTCACTTTGTTGTTAGCCCATTTCAGGATGTCAACATCTGTGATTTCCTTTCCTCGAGAGTGGTGATATCTCAGGTTCTTCAGGAGTTGCAATAGATTAAATCTCATCAATTGCCACAAATAAGCTGTGATGCAAAAAAAGAACAAACAATGCACGAGTATCAAGAATGAATGAAAAAGGAATCGAGTGTGGAGTCGAGAAGGAATAAAATCATACCGAGAATTAGCTTTTTATTTCCTTGAACAAAATCATTGCCCGCAACATTAACAAGAGAGAACTTCAATTGTTGTCCGATCTCTATTATTTGATTGCAATTTTCTACTTTTCTAAACGGCATCTTGATGGGAGGCTTCGTCGCCTGCTTCCAATTAACAGAGCCTGGAGACAACTTATCAAGAACTTCCAAAAGAAGCCACCTGCAGAAGAATCAAATAAATAATAATAAGAATAAGAATAAGAATAATAATAATAAGAATAATAATAAATAAATAAATAAAATTGGCTTTACCCATTTCTAACATCTTCGAAAACATTGTTAACGTATGTAGTAATTCCAAGACTATTGATCCACAGCCGGAAAGCTCTTTCTTCCCTGGACACCAGCACGTCATCAGGCATCATCTCCGCAAATGAGATTTTTCTGCAGTCTGTGGACAGACCATTCCTACAAAAAGCAATAATACCACAGAATCAGAATCAGTATGTAGTGCTGCTACAAAAGCACTACCACATAGCATGTCCAGAAGAAGCAGATGGTGGAGATTTTCTTGAAGGAACAAATAAAATATTAAGTTGGAATAAATGAAAAAGTCAGTCAGTCAGTCACGCTGGCAATTGAGAAAAAAAAAATTATAAATTTTGTACCTCTCATGAAATATCTGTGCGATAAATCCAAGATTGAGATTTGCAGAGCCTTCTACGATGTCTTTCGACGTCACAAATCTTTTGCAATTGATTTTCTCCGCATGATCAAGGACCATTTTAGCCCTTTCGGTTGGATCCTTGGCGTCTAGTGCTGCAGGGTTACAGTGCTCAGGTGCAAGAACATTCAGCAGATATGCATAAGCCTCTCCATCCTGTATGTATGTAATGGTGTTCAGCAAGCAACACGATGCAAACAAAAAGAATGGAATTTTCATGAACCAAGGCATCATCATACATACTAACTAGGCAAATATGAATTCAGAATTACTTTTTGTCCTGCTACTGCCTACTTTACTATATTTCTTACCTTCAAATCAGAAGAGAAGTTTGTCACCGTCTTCTTGTAGCCTGCCCTCTTGAGGTGAAAATTCATCCACTTCAGTAACATTTTTTCTGGTGACAGGCCCATAAGTTCCTCCGCATCCTGTAATCAGACCGAAATATGCTGGCATAATAGTCGAAATATGCTAGCAAACAAAGCAAGTGCAGCATCGCTGAGAGAATCGAGTGATCTTGGAACCTGGCTGTCGTCTATCAGCTCCACGAGTTGAGGTGTCTTCTTCAGGTTGAGATCTGCCAACAGTTGTATCTGACAAGAGAATGAGAATGGCCAAGCAGTGAACCAAATTCACAGAAAAATAAAGGTGTTGAATGGACCAAATATATATCTATCTATCTATCTATCTACATACACTATGAAAAATACCTTTATAATTTGAGATATCAAACCAAGCACCAGGTGAGGCTGCATCAGAAAACCAGCATGTCAGAAGACACACACTTCGACTTTACTCTCAAGACCAGATGAACGATAAACAAGCTATCGATCCAACCAAGTTTCTTTTCCCTAGTGTTTGTTTGTTTGTTTATAAACGAGAAAGAAAAAAAGCAGTAGATTGGTTTCCTAAAAATTCAAAGCTCCTGGGAATAAAATAAATAGGTTTTTTTTTTTTTTTTTTGTGATTGCTCTAACATCTGCATTACTCGTAGGTTTGTGAGTTCTGATGATTTGACGATGACTGGTCTCATCATATCATTCCATAATAGCTGTTGTTACTATTTGGTCGATGAGAAAGAAACGTATGCATCTACAAATTAAAAGAACGAACGTCAAAAAGATAGATATTATTATTATTATTATTAGGTCTAAGAATCTCCGGTAAGCACACGAGTAAGTGGAAGGGACATACCCTCCCTTCCACCAGATCCTGCGTTCCGATGTTAACGACCGTGCATCCGATCGCTTTTGCAGAGTTGAGGCACAGAGTGTGGTTCTCATTTCTCTCCCATGGGTTCAGCACCCGCTTTGTGTTGATCGCCCTCTCATCTATTGTTCCCGGCACCGCAACATTGATCATTTTACTGATGCGTGTCAAAGCAAAATGCATCAACTAATGCATTGATCATTCCACGATGAAGGATCACATATCAGATACGAGAAGATTACCAAAGAAGGACTCCATCCTTGGCCAAGTTGAACAGGTCATCTGAAGCCGGATCCAGCGGGAGGTAGTTCTTCAAGAATGGGTCATCTCCAAGGTAGCCATTTATGTGCGCTACGAAGAAACCTTGCTCGGATTCGCCTATGGTGTGAAGAAGTGTGGTCGTGGTGGCTTTCAAGAACGAAGAGGAATTCTTCACGCTCCCACGCTTGTTTGCCGCCTCTGCTTGCGAATCCAAATACGCCTGCCCAATTCAGGAATTCTACACTCGATCAAACATACGTCAGACCGAGATGCAAGAACCGCTGCAGACGATGAGGAGTACCCGTAAGTAAGCCTCGAAGTCCATCTCATGGTTGTCATCGGGATAAGATGCGTTCAAGATTGCAGAGATCTCTTCCTCCGTGAGCACCTCATGGAGACCCTTCAGTTTGACCATGACCGCCGGCAAATTCCCGACCGTCACATGTCCCGAATCCCCCTTCGCGGAGAGGTACTAGCCAAGGCCACATCCATGATCAGGCGAACTCGTCGCTAAGAAGCGGCGTCTTAGAACAACGAGGAAGAAGAAGAAGAAGAAGAAGAAGAAGAAGAGAGGGGGTTTCGGCTGCTTACATTGGATTTGAGGCCTCGCAGCTCGACCTGGGTGAATTGGCTCTGCAGCCATGGATCGGAAACAAGGACGCCGACGAAGCCCGACATCTTTACCTACTCGATTCCCTGAGGAAGCTGGAGTCGAATTCCCCGTACCCTATTCAAGAACACCACCTGCACAATCGGATGCAATCAAGAACAGCAAAAGGAGAACTCACGGAACGATCCAAGAACAGCAAAAAGCTGCCAACTCTCTCACATTTATGCCAGGAAACCGCGGAAAAGGCGAAAGATAAGATGCTACTGTCCGGTCGAAGAGCGGAGGCAAGTCAGGTCTCAAGGAGGCTCCTCCTTTCCATCCTCATCATGTCTATGGTTCCCGTCTCCAAGTTCTTTCCTTGTACTTCACTCAATTTCTATCTTCCTTTTGCTTTCCCTTTTCTTTTGTCATACCCCTGGATTCCTACTTCGGCGTGGTGGCGGTATGGAAGAGGAGGAGAAGGGACCTTCTCTTTCTGGAGTTACCTGGCAAAGCGTGGAGACGGAGACGGAGACGGAGACGGAGACGGGGTGAGGGCGAAATCAATGATCCGAGAAGGAAGGAAGGAAGGAAGGAAGGAAGAAGAAGGAAAAGAAGGGTAAAGAATTACTAAGAGGAAGAGTCGCGCCTCCGAACTGCGGCACCTGGAATGTCCGCCAGCCGACCGGAAGGGAGGCCACTCTTTGCTTCCGTCCTTATTCTGTGTGGTCGGTGGCGAAGCCGGGGAGGAGGGTGGGGAAGAGAGGGACGCCTCATAAACTGTCGTTGCATGCAACGACGACCACCTGCTCGTCTGGCATGTGTGATTCCGAGGGGCCCGCCCGCACCTACGTGTGACGCCTTACCATCGAGTATAAAATAGAAAATGTCGTTACCTATTTATGGTAGATAAAGAGTCATAAAATTAGATGTACACTTGCACATATCTATATAATTTCTTAATATTACGGTGCCATTGGATTCGTTGACTCGAGCTATGTCAGATTTGACTGGGTCTCTCGCAAGTCTATTTATGGTAAGATGACTCGGGACCTATCATAGTCTGTGGTGCAGGACCAGGCGTTCCGTTCCTTGTTGGAGAGAGAAGAAGAAGAAGAAGAAGCAAAATTCTTCTTTATCTTCAGCTACTTAAACTTTTTTTTTTTTTTTGGTTTGAAATTAAATGTATATATATATATATATATATGTATGTATAGTTATGAGAGAAATATAATAACTACGCTATGCATCAAAAGCTTTTATGCTTGTGTCCCAGATGGAATTGTCGTACGTTGCAACATCCAATGTATTGGATGTAGGGATATGCTTCATTCGATTAAGGTTCATCGACCTTTGTTGAGACATCAAGTGGATAGAGAGAGAGAGAGAGAGAGAGCTATTTAAGTTCGATTTGAATGACCAAGCTAGTCAAGTTGCTGGGGCATGAGGACAATAAACAAAGCTTGTTGCCCAACCAGAGACTGTTCATCCGATACATCATCATATAAATTGACATGTGTTTCGAAAGATGAGATGATGATGAGAGTCATCGGCTTGGATCTATCTAGCTTGGACCGTTGAACCTTGGGAAGATGTCTGCCATGGGTCCAAAGTAGCTTGAGAGTGCTTTGTCCCTTGGTTGGGAAAAGTCTTTTATATGTTTCCTTGCAAGCGTTGGATTGTCGAGACGACGAGGGAAGCGATCTGATTCTTAACCTTAATGAATTACAATTATTGCTGAGCTTTTGTTTTTCTTGTAAAACGCTAACTTAATCTTTGTATTTTGCATCCAAGAGAAGCATCATAATTTTTTTTTGTTTTTTGTTTTCTGTTTTTAAAGATCAGGTAAACAATCCTACTGTAATGATTCGACTTGACCTATGTAGTAGTAATCGGTACTCAATGGAAACAAGGAAAGCTTTTTTACTTTGTTCTTCGCAAATAACAAACTCATAATGTTTCGATTTAGTAAGTCTTGGGTCGAACTTCCTTTGAGAAATCATAAGAACCTTCCTTGCTTAACATTAGTTTTCCTCTCGAAATGATGGTTGAGATATGGGAAGCATATTCTCCCTTTGGATGTTTCTTCGGACCCATGCCTCGAAAGTGTTTCTCGTTTCTTTGGTTTCAATTTTTTTTTTTTCTCTCCAATATGAGAGCTTCGGTCCTTATATACTAATTTATTTTCTTGAGTGGGGCAAGTAAGATTGTTAGAGAACTCTTCGTGATCAACTAACAAAAACTTAAATGGCTTGTAATGTTGAATCGAGTAATAGACTATAAAAGAGAGATTGATTTTATTTATTGAAAAGACGAGTGTTTATATAAGTTTTAAGATATAAATTTTTTTCAAATCATGTAATTAAATTAGCTACTTAAATCATCCTCAAATATTAGATGTCTACGTATGTCTCTATTATGATCTTTTATTATGTCCTCATAAGAATGAGTTTTTATCAAAAATGTCAATCTTGGACTGATATAATTGATATATCTTATGGACAAAAGGCTTTATAAGGGAGTTTGCTAGTTGATCAATAGTATGTAAATGAGAAATACATAATTGATATCAAGTTCTTATATGTGGATAAAAAGATATAATAATAATTAAAATGATCTAATGAAGAATGAGAATGTAAATCGATTTGACAAATCAATTTAAAAAAAAAAAAAAAAAAAAAGGAGAGGTTGAGGAGGCTACTATCTATCTAGATCTTTACTACTTTAATTATATGATTGAGGAAAATAGCACAATCAAGAATTGGATAAGAGATATGTTGGTAAAGAGGCGATCACAATGGGTTCGTCGATAGAGTAATAGCGACGTGCTAGTCATAGGTGTCCTGCAAGTCAATCACGTGAATGATAGCACGTGTGACATGACATACGGTCTTTTTGTTTATCATTATTATGATATTTTCTCACTTTATATTGCTTGTTGCATAAATATATTGTGATGTCTATGGATCTATGCAATGGGAATCTGATCGTGATGATATCATAATAATGAGACCGATTTCCCTTTAAACATCGATCCTAAATAATTTCGGTCATAAGTTATTCAAGAAGGATATCGAGATAATCGCACAGACTAGTGTGTTGTATATCCGTCCATATGATGGAAGCAGTTGGTCTCGTAGCTACTCGTGTGGAGATACTAGGGCTATAACGTAGGTATTCATTAGAGAATGAGTTCATTGATTGATCTGCTCATGGAATGTTGGATGGTTGATGATACCTTATTATTAGACAGTGAATTCGTTATCCCGATAGTATACTTGGTCTTTAGTCTTAAGACACTAAGGATGTCCTATATGAGTACTTTACTCTTTGATACTAGACTTATAGATTTGAAAATTTCAAATCTAGCACAATCGACCATCAAGAGTGATAGCCAATCTTACGAGGGCTATTGAGTGTCAATAGAGGATCATTTGCTCTCGGTATCATGAGAAGAATATCTTGTGTATTCTTGCTCAAACAAATCCTTGGCCAAGGTCGTTCGGATTGAGAGAGAAATAGTTCTTCAAGAGAATTCGATGAGAGCGAAACTCGATGAGAAATCATATAGGCTTGATAGCACCATGCCCAGTATACGGTCTCTGTGACATTAGATAGATAAGAGACTATAGGTATATAATAACTGAGGACAGATATGTCCAAAATATTGGATTCTCCTATATTGTCTAGGGACTATGGCGTAATGACCCAGTACGTCCGTAGTTGATGAGTAGAGTGAATTATTATAGAGATAATAATTCACGACCAGCTCGATATTATGCCTAGAGGGTCATACACATATGGTAGGTATTGCGACGAGTAGAGATTCATATATGAGATATTCGTCGAAGCTCCCTATCTTCTTGAATATCCAAAAAGCTCTTGAATTATTGGATCCTATGGATGAGATCTAATAAGAGTCGATGAGAAATTATTGGATAGAGATCCAATAATCTAAGAGGCTTGGGTAGTTAGATAAAGATCGAATACCCAATAGGGCAAGATCCATTAAGGTTAAGTTGATATGAGGCATTTATAAATAAGAGAGAACCAAGGGATTAGGCTTCTTGGTTGCCACCTCTTTATTCTCCTCCCCCCTTTTCTTTCTTAGACAGCAAGTATGAAAATTTGGACAGCAATTCAAGGAGCATCTTCGTAGCCCCTACCATGTGGATCACTGCTAGAGAGGAGGATGCTTAACCTCCTTCATCCTCTCCTATAGATTTGTAGGACTTTAAGGATATATGATTTCTCTAGGTAACACAACTATCTCACACGTGGTTTTTAGTTTCGTAGGTTTTTGCGCACCAATCTTCACACGACGACGAACACTTTTTTGGAAAATTTAGAATTTTTGTTTTTTGTTCTTCCGTTGCGCATGTGATGTCGCCTCTAGATTTTTCTACACGATATGGGTCCGTCGACAAAATAATAGCAATGATGGATCACTAGCTTATGAGGAATAGTTGTTTACGAAAGATTGAACTTATTTTATTAACCGAGTGCATCTCATATTGAGGTCAAATTTATTGGGCCAAAGTAGATCATTGCCCTTCTCTACAAAAATGAATGTAATGTTAGATTGATTATTGATATTAAATCTACGATCATTAAAAAGTTACTGATGGTGCTATTGTTCAACAATCAACCTAAATGTTACTATAGATGGAAAGGAAAGGCCCTTAATTCTATGTCAAGAGGATTTTTTTTATACAGTATCTTGGTTTCAATTTTTTTGCAATATTTTTTTGAGAATTTTTTTTTAGCATCAATCTATTGTGTTAGTTTTAATTATCAACTTGAGAAAAAAAAGTTCAATCAAGACAATAAAATTTAAATCATATCTGGTGTGAAAAAGAATTTAAAAGGTTTATTAGATAGCCTAATGATGCGAAACCAATTTATTCTGTCTTTTATTTAAATAAATTTGATCAAAATATTTCATATATGCAATAAGTTATCATATGTCAGTATCTACTCAATGAGGAAAAAAAGGAAAATAAATACAGAAAAAAATGAAATATATCATATTTGTTTTTGATTTAAGATTACAAATGATTCATCTTTATAAAGATATAAGCTCGAAATATTATTTTATTTTTTTAAAAATCAAGTCAAAATTATTACTTTGTGTTCAAAGGGAACATGTTATTTTTATAATTTTCCTTTTATTTTTGCATCTATGCCTATAAAAATGGTTCAGAATATTATGATATATCAGTCAGAAAATAAATTAAGTTTTTACATAAATAATAAAACTTACAAAATTTTTATTGTATGTGAATGTGCCAAGTATTCGATAGTTATCTAATTTTTTTTCTTTATTATGAATCTAGCTGTTAGTCATTCTACATCACCCAATCAAAAAAAGATATCAACTCGAGTAGGAGTAACTTGTTTAAAGACAAAATAACTTACACCTTTATTTTTGGTAAGAACTCTTGGACCTTTATTTTTTATCGAGCAAAAAAAAAAATTCAAGAGATCAAAATGAATCCCAAAAATTTCACCTCAAAGCATTCCCACATTTACATCATTAACCATTTTAAGTTATATAAAATTTAACATTTTAATAATCCTATTAAATTTCACAATGATGTTGGATTACGATTGATTATTAAATTTTATAATATTTTATCTTTGGATGAACATGCTCCCTTGGTACTTTTGTCTACTTCAGTAATGATATTTTTCCTTTTTCCTTTTTGTCTGTCTCCTAACCATTCATTTAATCTTAAGAATTTAAAATCAAAAGTTGTTTTCGTCAAATGAAACTTGCGTTCGTGTTACACTAGTTTCCATCAGCCAGTGACATCAGCGGACTCATCAGTGACGAGTCAATGCACCGGTAGAAACTTCACAGGATGCATCCTCGCTTGTCCTACATGCAATGGAAGCCGACAACACCCGTGACCACTACTATTACGTTCCTTCCCTTCACTCCATCCGCGGTATATATATATATATATATATATATATATATATATATATATATATATATATATATATAATTATTTATATATAATGTATAAAAAATCTTCACAAGAATTAAAGAAAATAAAATTCCTTAAAATCCTACGCTCCGTCGTATCCGCGGCCTCTTCATATCGACGCCTACCATCCATCCATCCATCCATCGTATCCCTCTGTTGCCTCAACGCTACAGTACCGACGGTGGCGGCGGCGTACTGTTCGCCGCCTCTACTCCCCGCTCCGGATCGGGCTCCGCCGCCGTGCCTCCGCCGCGGCAAACCCTCGCATCCCTGCTAAGAAACCTCGTCAGCAGAAGCATCCTGCTCCCCGGCGACTTCAACCCTAACCCTTGCTCGCCCTCCGCTCCCCTCATCGGCACCTCGATCCTAAGCTCCCCCGTGGCGGAGCTCGAGGCCGACGACCCGATTCCGTCCTCCCTCCGGCACTCCTCGAACAGATCCGCCGGATAAGGCCGTCCCGGTTCCGGCGGCGCCGGTACTGGCAGGAGCACCTGATTCGCTGGCGTGGGGAGCGGCAGCCGCGCCGACGCCTCCACGGCGGAGCGGCAAAGGGGACAGGTGGCGTGGGAGTGGAACCACATGTCGATGCACTCGATGTGGAAGCGGTGGCCGCACCTCGGGAGGGCCCGCATCTTCTCCCCCTCCTCGAACTCATTCAGGCACACCGGGCACTCCACCACGTCGTCGTCCCCCTCCTCGCCGCCCGCTGCGGCGGCGAAAACGAAAACTGGGAGGGATTTGAGGACAGTGGGGTTGAGACCGCGGTGGTCGGCGGAGGAAGAGGAGGGAAGGGTGCCGTCGACGAAGAAGATCAGGCGTCGCCTGAGGCGGCGATGGCGACGTCGGAGGAGGAAAAATCGCGAGCGGAAGTAGAGGTGGAGGAACAGTAGGAGCAGGACGGCAGCGAAGAGGACGACGGTAGATGTGAGCATAACCTTGCCGCTTAGGGCGTAGCCGCGAGGACCCGGGTTCAGATCACCATCGGGTTTCGCATCCATTACGCTGCTTCACCGCCCGTCCCGACGAAATGGAGGTGCGTCTAACAAACCCACCGCTTATGCCGTTTCTTATAACGCAACGCGTAACTTATACTAGCACGTATGGTGTGGGCGGATATGTGGGCGAAAATAACCCTCATTGCGAGCGGGTTAAGCCGAGGCAATAGGGGTGATTTGGGTCGAGCAAATAAGGTCACGCGGTTAGATGGGGTATACGGAATCCAACCGAGACTTGGGTTGGTGTTTCGTGTGAAGCTTCGTGGGCGGGTGGAGTGTCTACTGCAGGCGGCCATTTGACTCGGTGAAGAAACTTCCACGAAGAGAGTGTCTATCCAGATCCAAACCCGCGTGATTTAGGTGATCTTATCTGGGGATGATAATGGGTCCAATAATTCAAAATCGATCCACGACTTGATCCAGAATTTTAGGTGTGGATCTTAATTATAGATTCATTAAGGTTATCGGATTGCATGAGGATCCTAAATCCACAAACAATAATACTTATCAATCAAATTGTAGCAAAGCCATCTGTTGGCTACTCAGATTCTCAATTTCGCGTTGAGATCTGGATTATAGATGGATCCGATCAATACCATCTCTATTGTGAACTTTTGCTGACAATCAATCTCATGCTATTTGCTATGGGAATGATTTAAATGAATAAGCTTGCATAAGATCTGTTTATATGTGGGCTCTAAGATAGCAAGATCCAGGAAGAACTGACCGTAGCATTTAGTCCCACATCGAAGAGCCTTCTTAGCGGGCAGGCGGAAGCTGTTATTATATAGAAGAGCCCTGCCTCACGATAATCTTCAATCCGTCTTGTCAGGGGATGAAAGGCGACTGGCTAATGATCGTATAGAGACGGTCGGTCGTGCCGACACCCATGAAAGCGAACACATTCTCTATCGGCGAGTGAGGCTTCTCCCACCCTACTCTCGGTGGGGCTTCGTTCGCCAATTTTTGGAAGGGCCCCTCTCTAAAGGGGCCCCTCACCAGTTCAAGAATACCAACCGTTTCCAAACTCTTTGTAAACTAATTAAATGTTTCTTTCGTCTAATCAGTTTGGTATGAAGCATCAATAATATTCTTTAATATTTAAACTTATAAACAAACCATTTACAGCATGAGATCCAAAGTTCAATTAAATTCTGATTTGGTTGTATTTAAACTGGTTCGGGTCGGACTTGGAACGATAGCAGTAGCCGGGTATGGGTTTTAATGCTCCGATACCCATTACCCGTACGATGGTGGCACATTAGTCTTTTTCGCTAGGGTGGATTTAAGACACCCTCTGCTTCCTCTTCTCCAGCGTTTCGCCGCCGCCTCTTCCCTCTGTCCCAGTTGCTTACGCCTTCTTCTCCCGTCGCCTGCAACGCCCTCTCCTCCTCTTCTTCTATTATCTGCTGCCTCCTTTCTCCACATTCGAGCGGGCCGGTCTTGCCGTCGTCGTCCCCTGCGATTCCATGGTGGTGCCCAGCTGCCCTACTTGACCGCTTTCCCCTTCTCTGCTACAATATCTATTTTCCGGCTTAACATCAAACTTTCCTGCCGATTTCTTAGTCTGCTGATTTGTTGAGGAAATATAACTAGGTTTAAAAATACGATACTATCGTGTAGCATTGAAGTAATTGAATTATATGGTTTAGCAAGGGAGAGGTTGAGTTTGAGCCAACCTACTTTTATTGATTCAACCATAGTAACAAATGTTTAGTGAGTTAAACTTTGATTTCCCTTAAAATTTCGAGTTTCAACCAATCTAGTGTTGACATGATCAAACCCATTCCAAACACTTTACATCATTATTTTCTGCGATTATTAAGCAGAACAGGTAGCCAGAGTTCAAACTTTCGAGTTATTTTAAGCTGGTTTTGGCTGATTAGTCCTTAAGCTCGAGTTCAACTGGAAGTCCCTGCGAGGGAGACGGCATGGGATCCCTGGAGAAGCCATTCTCCTCGCAGCACAATCTCCAGTTGAATCTTGTGGCCACATAATGCATCATCACCAGTGTCTCCATCCTTGCAAACTCATTGCCGGGGCACATCCTTGGCCCTCCACCAAATGCCACAAAAGAGCAGGGAGGCACTGATGACTGCTTCTCGAACCGCGTTGGATCGAACTTATTTGGATCCTCAAAGATATGCTCGTCCATCTGTGTGATGCTTGATGCCCAGAACACCTAATCATCACCCAGAAGTTGTAGCAGGAAAGGAAGATGGAAATGTGGATCTTATGTGAAGTAGTAGTAGCTCTCCTTACCAGCCACCCTTTCGGAATGAGGTAACCTTCATACTCGATGTCTTTCAGCGCCCTTCTAAAGTTCCCAAAGATCGGAGGAATCATTCTCAGAATCTCCATCGCTGCACACCATGTGTGCTTCATCTTGTTGAGATCACTCCATGTCAGGGCTTCTCCTGAGGCCTTCCCCTTTGCAATCTCTTGTTGCTCTATGATCATTGACACAAGGCAAAACCGGCAGGGGTCATCATATATACATAGCATGCATCACATCACGATCGTTGAAGTTTATTTGTTGCTTACCATGGATAACAATCGTTCGGTTGACAGGATCGTCGGCGAGGTGGCGGATCATGAAGGTGATCAGAGCGGCAGAAGTATCATACCCGGCAAACATGACGAGCATTAGGTTGTCCAGAATCTCCTCCTCGGTCATTTCTCTGGCGTCGTCTTCGCCGCCCAAGCTAAGCATGTAGGTGATGAGGTCCTCGTCCCGGGAGCACCTGCCTTGCTTCAACATGTCCTTCTTCTTCTCGATCACACCGGCGAGCACTTTCCGAGCTCTTCGGCTTGCCCTCAGGCTCCTGCGGAATTTGGTGAATGGTAGATTCAGCGGCACCGCCCACATCCCGGGCAACATGTCGGTGAAGGCCTCCTCCAGCGCCTCCCGGAGGGATCCTTTCTCCAGCCCAATAACGAGCGAGCAGATGATGTCAAACGTGAGAGTCTTCATCAATGGCATCACCTGCTCACGTCGAACAAAACTTGAGGTAAATCCACCAAATTAACGAGGAGGAAACAAATCGGAACGCACCGTCACACTCCTTCTGCCGACCCAGTTCGTCTCCAGATGATGCCTGACTTCCCGGTCGATCATGGCTACGTACTGCTTCAGCACTTCTGGCTTCAGAAAGTGTGCAAGTGCACCTCTAACACGCCTGTGATCCTCTCCCACCAATTCCAGTATGTTCCTTCTTCCTATGATTCCGGTGATCGACTTGGGCTGCTGCGGGACGAGTGCTTCGCTGAAGAAGATGAACTTGTTGGCCGCCGGACCGGTCAGGAGGACTGCCCGGCTGCCGAAAAGGGAGAGCTTCGAGATCGGTCCATACTTGCTCACCCTTCGAGCGAGCCACCGCTCGCCGGTGTTGGCCCTCATCGCTCGGAGAAGGCCGAAGCTCTGGCCGATGAAAGGGAGGCCGAGTGAGCCAGGAGGCAGCTTCTTGGATGACCGACGTGCTGTGCGCAGCAGTCGAAAGAATGGAGGAAGCAGTGCAAGGAAGAGAACGAATGATATGATTCCGGCAGTCATCTTGTTCAGAGATCGAACTCGTTCAGTGTCACAGAGGTCGATCACAGCAAATAACTCACATGATTCTTTATGGTAAAGCGAAGATGCCGTAGGAGTACGGACAAGGCTCGTTGATTGGGCTGCGCTGTCCGCCGGGATTGGCCGCACTTGATTTTTAGATTTGGCTTTAGATTCGGATGTCCATGGAAAGCTAAGTTGCTGTAGGAACAGACAAATCCAATTCCGTGTCATTTAGATTTTTATGAGGATCCACATCGTTACGTAATGAGTCACTGGGAGATACCACCTAAGGTTTTAGATTAGCCAATGTAACACCTCTTTGACTGGAACACTTGTCAACAAAAAACGCTATCTACTTAATTCGCCGAACCAACCGATTCATAACTCGATCTTAGTAGATCCAATCGAATATGATTTGGACAGTTGAGGTTTTATTGTTAATTCAAGATTGGCCCTCAACTCGACCTTATCCACATGTCAATGGCAATTATTATTATACATCGTTTGCACACAGAATCTTCATATGGTTCTTGCAAAGGTTGCAGACATGAAACTATCGTCGGGATGCTTCCTACAAATCGAGGCGAATCCTCTTTAGTACACACTCACAAAAGACAAACGTATCACTTCGAGTATGTAATTTTTGGTAACCTCTTATAATTTATTTATATCTAAAATAATTTTTATATTTAAAAAAACGTAGTATATAAGTTTTTAATGTCAATTTTAAGTTAACAGATATTAGAATCTATATACATGACATGCGGACTCATAATAAATTATTAATATAATAATATATATAATTTAAGTTAAAAAAAAAAATCTATTTTAGTTCTTATAATTTTGATTATGGACTACTTAAGCTTTTATGATTTTGCTCGTATCTAAAATAATTCTTATATTTTCAAAAACATAGCATATAAGCTCTCTTATCAAGTTTGAGTTAACAAACTGTCACGGACTTAGCTGGATTTGCCTAAATCGTGCGGCACCCTTGTGTGTCCGTTCACAAAGGTCAGCCTCCCATGGTCCCTTAGGACCCATAAAAGAGAAAACGGTTTAGAGAGAACGCCTCACTCGGGATCCACAAGTAAACATTCCAGGAAACATTTCATAGACAATGAAAATTACAAACAGACTTTACAAGCTTTGAACAGTTGCACAACAAAGGGTTAAAATAGTCTATTACAGATCGAAAATCTCTTACACGTATCCACATGACACAACCTTTATTTACAAGCCTAAAGTGGCCACCAACCTAACTAAAATGGGACTATTAAACCTTCGACCGTCCCTCTACATGATGTACAAAGTATGAACATACCAAAAGACACGGACATACATAAGCATTACATCAAACATCCTGTTTCGAAGTTTGTCCGAGACATTCTCCCCCACTTATTCCTTCGACGTCCTCGTCGAAGCCTTTGTCAACATTGCAACTCCTTGCCTTTGCTGAGTCTTCAATCTTCTGCTCTAGCTGCAATGCGCCTCTTGGCTCCCAACTGCTCTCCACTGCTGTTTTT